CCCAGCTCTCTTCTGACACGGACTGGAAAGTCCTGTTTGGAAAATTGGACAGGGAGACTGTTCTGGGAAAATCTGAACACTGGAGCAAGGGGAGGGAGGAAGGGCAGGAAAACCTCCAGGGTGTTCAGGGAGGCTTCAACCTCTCCAGACTTTGGCTTCTTACATTGTGCCCTGATAAATGTGTCAGCCTTTAGAAGGAGCCTTTTGGCCCTGATGCTAGTATTTCAGAGAGCTGCCTGAAGGACTGTAGAGGTGTGACAGGCTGGAGACAGGGAGAGGCTGTGCAGTGGGGGTCCCAGCAGTGTATGCCACCCTGGCTGGTGCAAGGGAACAGGACTTTCCTGCTCCCTCATCCCTTGAGATCCCACACAGTGCTCATTCTCCAGCAAAGCACAGGCACTGGGAGCACAGTAATGCTGGAAAAGCCCTCCACTCCCCTGAAGTGAGGGCGGGCTTTCTTCAAGGGAAAGGGTCCTCCCTCCCATCCCTGAACTCCATTCTGCAATACTTTTTTCTAGAAACACCAGATGCTTAATTATTTCCACAGCTAAACTCCTGCGGAAAAATGATCTGTGCTGAGCCCCTGCCCAGCCCAGAATCCAGCAACATTGAAGAGATTTCCATTAAAACAATTCACAAATTACAATTCTCCGAGATCACAGTCTTTCCTCGGGTTTTGTTGCTAGTTCCACCTCTTCCTTTCCTCACTCAACCATCTTGCTTATCCAAATATAAACTGAGGCTGTAGGGCAAAGGCAGCAGTAGTGGGCTGCCACTTTTGGGAATAGGTTAAGGGTCCCGGTGACCTGACTGCCTTCTGGTGCATCAAGCCCTGCGGGGGCAGGCAGGTGGATGTTGCCCACCAGCTGGATGCCAGGCGCATGGTAGGTAAACACTGTCCATTGGCCCCTGTCTGGTCCTACATTTCTTCTTGGTGTGTAAAATGTGAAGTAGTCAATAGGAAGCCCCTTTCTAGTGTCAGAATACTGAAGGAGGAGGAGGAGAGCAGGAGTTAAGGCACCCAAGTTAGAACTGTGGCCTCTCATGATCTCCAAGCCCATCAGCAGGCAGGCAGCTCCCCAGGGCCACCCATCCCATGTCTCTCTGCTGAGGGAGCTGAGACACCCACGTATGCATCAAGCAGCCCACACAGCCCAAGCTGCATGCGAGAAGCACACTGTACCATAACCCGAGAGCAGCAGAGTGAGCAGGTGGGCAGAGTGGTGAAAGGTCTTTGCTCATAACTGCAAAGGTCAGGCTGGTGCTGGAGCTAGTGGGAGGACACAGCCTCTCCATGCATGTCTCTAGGTGCAGGGCTGCCTTTTGCCCTTGCTTTTAACACTTCCCAAAGCTGCAGTGAATGAAAGAGAAGGCTTCCCAATTTACTGGGGGAAAACCAGATCCTGGTCTCTGCTCTCTGCCATTGCTGACCTGACAGCCTGCATTTTATCTATCAATCACCACCATAAGGTTCTTGAGAAATCCAGGGTTCATGCTGAGTGAGCTGAGGGGCAAGGACTGAAGGTGGCCCCTGGGTTGTGGCTGGGATGAGGGAGCTCTACAGGGAGCTGTAGTGCAAGGAGGAAGAAGAATGTGTGGGAAGAAATGGGTAGTTCAGCTCTTTGTGTGCAATATAAGGAAGTATGGGAATATCCCTGTGGGATTATCAAAGAGATTTACAAGAATGGGCAGCAGAGAAAGGCTGAAAACAGAAATGTAGCCCCATGCTGTGCATTGTCATGATGGGTGAATGACTTCATGGTGAGCTGGTGTTGCAGGAGGAGAGGGAGGAGAGGTGCTCACCCTGGAAGGGAGAGAAGAGCAGGCAGAGGTGGACACAGGGGCAGTAAGAGCAGAGGACACATGCATCTCAGGAGCTGAGGAAAGGAAGGAGACTAATGGAGGGAAGATCAAAGGCAGGAAACGAAAACTGAACTTGAGAGGACCTTGATGTGCAGCAGCATGAGTGCTCTTGGAGCTTGCTGAGCCACCCAGGGCAGGTGACAAATGTGCTGGGAGAGAATTTTGAACCCTGTGCCAGCACAGGGAAACACTGGTAGTAGGACAAGTGAGAGCAAGCTACTGTGCTCTGCTAATAGCAGCCATGGCAGCTGAATAAGGAAAAAGTGATGCTCGCAGAATAAACGCATAAGGCGTTCTTGCTCTAAGTCCTGCAAATGGGACCATACAACATATCTGCCAAAGTGCCAAGAAGGCAGTTTATCATGAAAGCATGAAGACAGGCTATCCCCAAAACTACTCTCAGATCTTTCTGAAGACATAGGTGTGGAAAAGCCCAGAGACAGGGTGGACATGCAGCAGTTAAGGGCATGCATTTGAAACTGGGCATGCGATGGGTGGCCGACAGTGGACGAGCTCACTATGTCATCAAGTGAACAGGCAAAACTCTCCACTGCATATCCCCATGTTAGCAATACACAGATACACAACATCCCCAACCTATTTTGCTAACAAACACATATTTTCACATTCGTCTCTGTCCTACTTGCTTTACCTATGGCTCCTCCACATACCACACTAGGTTACTGTTGCATGACTGGCGGAGGCAAACAGTGGCATAACCAGCACGTGGTACCTGAGCGATGATTTGTTTAGCTGCAAAACTTCCTTGTACAGTAGACCATTTGCTTAACTTATTAAGTCATTATAGCATCCTTGCAAGATCATAACAGATCCTTCCTGAGATACTGTTTGTCTAAATGTTGCAAAAGCAGGGAACCTGCTGCTTCTGAAACTACTTGACCAGCCTGGTACTAGTGATAACTGCTCTTTCCTCACTCCCTCTGGCCTTCGAATAAAAAGAATTTGCTTTCAGATGGTCTCTATTTAAATATTTGCATAGTATGGCCAGCCATGTACGTGAGCACTTCCAGAACACTGATACCGATAGCAGGTGAATGCCTCTGCAAGGCCTCGGCAGCATTTCCAGCTTCTGTTTTGCAAAGGGGAAACTCAAGTGTAGCTTGTTAGAGGAACATTGCGTGTTTTATTTCCAGCAGTAGCAACACTGTGTTTAGTCAAGAAAGGTTGGAAATCACTAGGGATTCTTTGCAGCAGGTGGTAATCCTACCCCCACCCTCCTCCCTTCCCAATCCCAGCCCAGTTTTAACGGCCACTTGGAGGGCAGGGTGAATTCCCAAGAAGAAGAAGAGTTTGGCAGATTCTTACCCAGCCCCACACCTGGAAGACTGCAGGTTTGCAATGCAGGCATGGTCCTGTTTGCCAGGAGGAAGTTCCAGTGCATACACCTGGGCTATGCTCATGCAATGAGAGTGGAAGGGAATAAAAATGACTCAGGATGACAATTTTATATAATCCTTTCCACAATGGCCTTTGGCTCCCATGCAAATTAGGAAGCACCCACCTGGCTGTGGTGCTCTTCCTCATACCAGAGACCCTTCCTTAGAGCAGGTCATGTGTCAGGAACACCTTGGGAGAGCAGAGCAGAAAAGGGCATGGGTGTCCCTGTGTAATTTGGAGCTCTGCCCTTCTCCAGTGGCCTGACCTGGGCTGGGTGCCAGCAGCACACAAGTCCTCTGGCAGAGCTTGGTCCTGCGTCAGCAGCTCTGCCATGCTCCATCCCCATCCAGGGGGTTACAGCACAGAAGGAATGGAGCATGGTCACCCTTTATGCAACCCATCCTTTGCATAGTCACACAATGGGTTAAAATCTGTGGCTACAATTAGTCCTGTGCTGCCAGCAGATAATTAGGTGCAGGTGAGGATTTGAGCAAAGTGATTCCATCAGCTAGAATGCTGGAGGGAAGCAAGCAGAAGTAACTGAAGTGGGTTAAAACCACATCCCCCACTGCTCTTCATTGGACAGGGAAGAGCTGCTAACTTCTGCAGCAGGAAGGGTAGGGAGGCCCCATGCCTGAATTTCAGGGGTGGAAGGCAGCAGCACGTGTTCTCGGGTGTGTCCTCCCTCTTCCTGCGGAAATCCCCTCTGGAAAATCCAGAGGTGTCCGAGTTCAAACCAGAGCTGGGCCAGGTGATAAACAAGAGGGCAAGCGATGTTGCAAACTCCAGGCTCTACCGGCAAGTCCCAGCAGGAGCTGCCGAGTACTGGAGCTGGAACAAAAGGTGCCATGAAGGCAGGTAGATGCTGCCACAGCCAGCCTCAGAGCCCCTCTGTAGCAGCAGAGACCTGGTGCTTGGGTGTCAGAAGGGGAACCCCAGCCCCACGACCCACCTGCAGACACAGGCACAGGAAACACCACCCACATCTTCCAAAATTAGCTGCAGCAGAAGGGCTGGAAGCTGCAAGCTCTTAGATGTCTTCCTGCTGCTGCTACCACATCAAAACCCCTTAGCCTGTGACCCCACCGGTCTACAAGGTGTTGAATGTTTCTTAAAAAGCAAAGCAGGTGGATTCCCCGGTATCTCAGGACAATGAGGTGGGCAATGAACCATTTCACAAGCCACGTACAGTAATCTTTTTTTAATAAATACATATCTCACAGGTACCAAAATAATTATAAACAAAAATGTACACTATTTACACAATATACAATTGCTAAAAAGTGTAGCTATTATGACACACATGGTGTGAAACATACTGTTTCCAATGCCCACAGTTAACATTATTGCTATTTTTCTTAACAGCCAGGAGGTCTCCAGTCCCCTGGCTTGACTCCTCTGCCTGGGACACGACACTGGGAGCAGCCGAGGTTGGTCAGTAAGGCCAGGCAGTGCCACCAGCCCAACACAAGTTAACACAGTCTCTGAGAAGATGGGGTGCTGGTAAATGCCTGCCTTGTCATGAGAGGATACTCATTCCCTGTGGTACTTGATGCCACAAGAGAGCTTGCTGATAGGTTAGATGTGTAGTCGGCTACCTTCACAAGGTTGACAATATTGGCTGTGTGGCCCTTATCAGATGGTGTGCATAATCGCAGATCCCTAATGGTGCTACACATTCCACTCCTGTATTTAAACACAGGCCAGAATCTGGAACTGTACTGCCACAATTACGGCCAGTGTACTATCCCCCTCCTGGTTCTTCCCTCTGCATTGTGACTTTTGTTTTAAACAAAAAGTCAGTTCTTTTTCTATACATATGTGCACAGTCACTTCTTTTCACAGAAGGCTCTGCCTTAAAATGTCAGCTGTCGTCCTCCAATAAGGCAGTCATCATACATAAGCTGCAAGAAAAAAACAAAAGGCTGTTAATGCAAAACTCTGACTGGGAGTATCGTATCCACTCTGGGCTAACTGCCAAATTCTGCATGCCCTGACTTCAGCAATGTGGAAAATTTCTACACTGAAATGGTTACATTTGCCATTTAACAGCACTAAGAACGTTAGAAAAACAAATGCTAGGGAGGAGAAAAACCATCCATTAGCTTGAATTTTATTTCACAGGTTCAGTAGGTATCAGCAAACAGAATGGTGTTGCATGAAGCAACATTCCCTCAGGTTATTTTTTACCTTTTATTCTTTTCCTATTTATTTGCTTGATGGTTGATAGTGCAATCTTACTTTATGGGCAATTTATACCCATCTGTTACATAGATAAGAGATCATTGGAGCACCACAAGAAAACCCACAAAGGGCAGGATTCCCCCTTCTCCTGAAAAGGCGCAAATAGCTACTTACTTCATCCTCTGTTGATTCAGGCTCCGATTCACTGCTCTCCTCATCCTCACTTTCTGGCAACATCTGCAGGTTGGCCATGGTCAGCTGCTTCAGCTGTTCCTGTATGCTGGAATTCTCTCTTCCCCATGTGAGCTGATACGGGGAGTATCCTTGGTAGGTCACTTTGTTCACGTCCGCCCCATGTTTCACCAGAAGCGACACCAGGTCTGAATTCTGCAGGTCGACAGCCAAATGTAGTGCAGTTCTCCCATTGCATGGCTCCTGCATGAAAATAACACAAGGTTTGGCATGTTAGGAAAACCAGCGTCTGTGACAGACCTGTTGATTCTAACGACTACACAGCCCAGCTCAGTTAAATTCACTGTATGCATTACATACCTGAGCATTTACATCTGCTCCCAAGGACAGCAAGTATTCAACAACAGCAAGGTATCCTTGAATAGATGCCAAATGGAGACACGTATGTCCTGCAAAACACAAATTAAGGGAAAATCTGAGTTAAGTTTAACCTCATGTCCTACCATTCAGTTAAAATCAAGATAATAGGACAGGATGATATCTAAGTTTGAGATTCATCCATGGCAAAAGGGTGTTTTCCATAAGAGCCTTCCAGCTTCCAGTAAGTATGAATAACAAGGTTGGATTTTGGAAAGATTTCTTAGAGGCTTCATTCCAGTGTTTGAGTGCAACTTATTGCAACCCAAGAAAAAAGGAGCACTGCAGAACTACTTGCTACAAATGCAAAATTCAAAGCCATCAGAGCCAATAACAGTCAGGAGGCCTCTAAGTGACATCTGGAAGAAATCAAGACACTCCTGTGCGCTTTGGGCTTCTCAACTCTCAATCAGGCGTAATGATCCTCCTCCACCTCTCCAGAGGTCTTTGGGCTCTGTGGAACACCAACCCTAACCTCAGCACAGCACCCCAACATCGATGTACAGCAGCGTGCCCGTACCGTTGTAGTTGGTCGCCTGTAAGACAGCGAGGAGGTGGTGTGGCTGGCAGTACTGAGTGAGGACACTGACACTCCTGAGGGACCCCTGCTGGCAGGCAATATGCAGGGGGGTGTTTCCTCGGAAATCCCTGATTTCCAGGTTGCATCCAGCCTTCAGAAGATGCTCAGCAATTTCAGGCTGGTCAGTGATCACTGCCAGGTGAAGAGGAGTCTGCAGGCAAAAGAGAAAAAGCACACCTGTAAGCTATGCCACAAACCTGGCAGCAACATCTGGACAGACCCCTCAACTGCTTGGTGGTTTGTGCCCGCAGTTAAAATCACACCCCATGAACTCAGCTCTATGCTTCCCAACATATTGTAGAGTTGACCTTTAGTCTGGAAGTGATGAACTTAAGGCTCTCTGGATACCCAACAGTCAATCTATATGAAAGGTATCATTAACATCCCAGTAAAGAGGGATGCAACCCATTGCATCACATTTGAAAAATGCGGGTGTTAAGTGCCACTCTCGGGGTAGAGGAAGTGTTGTAGTAACACTGGCTGAAGCCAGCTGGGGACTTGCCTGAATGCAGGCTTTGATTCAAGCAGGCTATGATTTAATTGATTCCATTGATTAAAACATAAAAGAGAAGTTGGGGGTGGGGGGATAGCTACTCAGAGAGCCTTTGTGGGGTGGCAGGGGATGATCTGGATCTGAGGCTGCGGAGGTGCAAGTACCTGGCTGAGGTTGTTCTGGAAGTTGAGGAAAGCACGGTCCCCGGCCGTCTGCCGGATCACCTCCAGGCTCAGGGCTTTCTCCTCGTGAATAATCGCCAAGTGGAGAAAACTGCAGGGGAGGAAATAATAAAACCTGAACATCCCACGTCAAATCCCTCAAACCCCACGTTAAACCCCCCCAGTGCGCAGGGTCATTCGCGTGTGTCGCAAGCAGGGGCTTTCGCCGGCCGGGGCTTTCCGCGCCGCGAAGCCGCCTCTCCCTGGCGCCCCTCCAGGGACTTTCCGACCTTCTCCTCCTCCCTTCCCTCCCCACCGCCGCCCGGCCGGCGCCTCCCCGCCAGCACATCCTGTCCCGTTCCCACCGTGCCATGTCCCCGCCACGTCCATGCTCATCGAGCCCACCTTCCCAGACCCCCACTTACGTGTCCCCGTCCTCCGTCAGCTGCTGTGCCCAGGCGGGCGGTTCGCGGGGCTGCAAGCGTATGTCTTCCAGCTCCTTCACCAGCTG